GGAAGAAATGAAGCCATGATGTGCTGTTGACCAGCGAGGAAAAACTTATCAGCCTCCGCAGCCAGCGCGTGGCAGTCAGTAATGGAGGTGTTTGCTAAAGCCGCTCATACCTGAGCCGGTGGCTGACGTAAAAATAATTGAATAAAAAGAAAATCCGGGTTGTGCTCACCCATGAGATTAAGCATCTTGTCCACTAGCTCGGACGGCTTGCCGTCGCCAAAGCCCTGAAGTGAAAAAAGCCGGCTGGCTCTCACTGCGTCAGGAAGTTCCAACAGGTGGGCTTTAAGTGCAGCATATTTGTTGTGTGCCGGCGGGTGTTTAAGTAAGCTCACCACTCTCGGATGCCATGGAGCTGCTCAGTGCTGACACAACATAGTAATATTTAGTGTCGTTCGCAGTAATCTTCCAAAGTGCCAACTGCGCTTCTGTCTGGCCGAACCATGCTGAGGCTGACGATTCCCAGAACTTGGGCAGCTTGAGAGAGACGGCGTTCGTGGTCGTGTTCGCTCGGGGGAGTCACTGGATACGTCCAGCAGACAAACGTCACAGTCACCAGTGAGAAATTGGAAGGAAAAAAATCAGACAATTTCTCACAAACGGGGATGCACATCACCCTCCTTTATTAACCCACCACCACAGAACAATCACATCACTAATTCCAATAGGTCAATCGCAACCTGGGTTAAGATACAGAGAGCCAATTATAGATTAGACATTAAGTATTCATGAACAATATAACCACAAATAGACTTGATAGTATGGTGAATTTTGCGCAATAAACTGAACCTTAAACTGTCAGGTAAAGTCGCACAAGTCCCCCAGAATTCACCGCCAATGTTGACAAGGAAGTGTTTCTTGCCGGCCTCCACAACACAGAAAGGGCCCTCGTAAGGAGGGTGAAGGGGACCCCGGTGGGCATTGCGTCAGAGAAAAACATATTCCGTTGGTCGCAGACCTGCAGGTACATAACAGAGGAAGACCATGGTGAGAAATGGGCCAAGGGGTGAAATGGGCAGCTTTGTCTAGTAACAGGGTGCGCTGCTGCTTGGCGGACCAGGGAGTCGTGCTGTTGGGGATAAACTCCCCCGGGACCCATAAGGGTTGGCCATAAACCAGTTCAGCCAAGGAAGACTGGATGTCAGTCTTAGGGTCTGTTCTGAGGCCCAGCATAACCCACGGGAGCCTATCCACCCAGTTGCTTTCCTTGAGGCTGGCCTTCATGGAGCGATGGGTGA